GATGACCCGGCCCCGATCGATAACTATTAACTCTTACTATTATTAGACTTAGACCTTAGTCTTACCCAGGCCCAGGTATTTTTAGCTGATACTGAAACATTGTCAGCATTTTTAAATATAATAGAACAATATAACTCCCACAACTCTACTTCATATTTTTATATTAATATTCTAGTCTATAGAATTTAGTACTTAAGATTACACTAGTACTACTACTACTAGTAGTAGTAGTAGCAGCAGTGGCACTGCATGGCATTACATGACTGTTCACTCATTACTGTCCTGATTTTAGTAGGTTTAGTCCTCCTAATGCCTAATACTAATACTAATAACCAAATGTTTATATTGCATTTAGTTATTCTTAAATAGTGATATAGTAACTTAAAGTTAAAGTAGTATACTACTGCTTTTATATAAAGTGTCTGAAAAATAAAACGGATTACTATTTTAGTTGAAGGGCAGTGTTCTATTGTTATTAGTATGAGACAAGATAAATAACATCGACCATGCCATGGAATTAAATTTTAAAACATATTATTTCAGGAGAAGCTCACACATCCTATGATAACAAGGTCAAGCCATCAAGGGAGCCTGCAAGAGTAGAATGTCGTTGTAAATGTCTGACAAAATTCACAGATTTTGAGATGGAAAGAATTTTATCAGAATTTAATGGTCTTAAAGATCATGAGGCTCAAAATATATATCTTCAGGGTTGCATAAGTGTAAACGATGACACTAGTATTCGTCGAAGGCCCAGAAAAGAAAATGGCAAAGAACGAAGCAGCTTTTCATATTCAGTCACTGCACTGGACAAAACTATTTCCATTTGCAAGGCAGCATTTCTTGCTTTGCATGGGATAAAGGAATCTAGGCTGAAGAGAAAAGTACTTAACTTTTCTGTCCCCATTAAAGATGGGAGAGGAAAACATGGAAACCATAGAAAAATTGATAAAAAAATCCGAGATCGTGTTTGTGACCACATTAGACTGTTTCCTACACGTGAAAGCCACTACAGCAGAGCAAAGAACAAGCACAAAAAGTACCTGATTCCTCTTTGACAGTTGCAGAAATGCATCGCTTATTTTTAAAGGAAAATCCAGATCTTACGGAGTGTAAATACTGGTTTTACCATGACATATTTAACTTTGAATTCAATATTAAATTTGGATTTTTACGGAGTGACATATGTGATAAATGTGAAAAAATTCAAGCACAAATAAAAGCAGCAGAATCTGTCAATGATGCCAAAGTTGTTAAGGACCTGAAACTTCTGCATGAGCTTCACATAAGGAAAGCTGATGTATTTAATGTGCAGATCACAGAAGCCACAGAAGCTGCCAAACAAAGTAAAGACACTGCAGTGATCTGCATTGACTTTGAAAAAAATGTACCTCTACCTCTAACCGGCATTGGGCAAGAATATTATAAGCGCCAACTGTGGATCCACAACCTGTGTATTCATGACAATGTAAATGAATCTGCACAAATGTATCTTTATGCTGAACATTTTGCAAGCTAAAGGCCCCAATGAAGTCATTTCATGTCTAGACCATTACATTTCTGGTCTTCCAGCTACCACTACAAAGATAGTAATATCCATGGATAACTGTTTTTCACAGAATAAAAACCGTGACATCTCTGCCTATCTACAAAGCATTGTGCATAAAAGTGTTTCTTTAAGACAAGCTTATGTTAAGTATCCCCTCCCTGGACATAGCCGAATGCCTTGTGATCGGGATTTTGGACGAATTGAAAAGAGGAGACGGAAAAAAGACCGGGTCATTCTACCGTCACTGTGGGTATCACTTATAAAGAGTACAGATACCAACAAGCCATTTAATGTTGTTTACGTGGAACATCCACTAACAGACAACATGATGGAAGATGGAACCCCTTTTGTTAAAGTCCTTGACTATAAAAGAGCATATGACCCCTTGCTAAAACCAGTGACTGGCATTAGTGAGTTTAGAGGGGCGAAATTTGAAAGAGGTCAGGTACCACTAAGCCAAAATTCTATGACTGCAGAATGCTCAGACGTCATATATACTTTTAAACGTGGGAAAAAACTTTCAACACTCCTTTCAACGAAACCTGATCGTGCTATCATCAATTTTTTGCCTGTCAAGACAGCAAAATATAATGACATATGTGAACTGTTAACGCATGTCAATTTTCCAGATGATGTTACCTTTTATAGTACTATTAAAGGTAAAGATACAGAGGAAGACAAGAGTGACACTGATGACATTGAGTAGACTCATTTGCCATCTTAATTTGTGCTGAGAGTAGCATTATTTTCCAACTAAAGTGTGTTTTTGTTTGTTAATAATATAATAAAATGTATTTAAAACATGATTTTGTTGAAAAAGTGCTTAAGTCCAGTGTTTGGTTTCAGTGCAAGAAGTACCTAAGTCACGGAATAGGACAAAAAGTACTTAAGTAAAAAAACGAAATTATCTATATCTTTAAAAAAATGAGGGTTTAAAGCTTAAAAATGTGCAGGTTTATTCATGACAACACTACAAATATGTAGCAGTAATCAGAAATATAATGGAATGTCTTGCCTGATTTAAAGGTCGTTTTGAATATTTGAACTTGATTATCTCAAAATGGTTATTTTGTGACTTAAGTACTTTTAGCACTAAGCACATACGAAATGAAATATCACAAAGTCTCATTCGGTAGCACTACGATATCAAAATCACAGTCTCAGTCTGTGTCAATAAAATATCAAAGATCACAAACTATCAGTCGTTATCACTAAGATATCAAAGATCACAGTTTCAGTCCATATTAATAAGATATCAAAGATCACAGTTTCAGTCCATATCAATAGGATATAAAAAATCTCAGTCTCAGTCCGTGTCACTAAAATATCAAAGATCACAAACTCTCAGTCGTAACATTACGATGTCAAAGATCACAAAGTCTCAGTTTATATCACTGAAATATCAAAGAACACAAAGTCTCAGCGCGTTTCACTAAGATATCAATGATCCCAAACTCAGTCCGTATCGCTACGATATCATAGATAACAAAGGATTTAATTACAAGTTACTAAGCGCTTATTTAGTTTTTTACTTAGTATAAAAGTGATAAACACATTACGTTTTTTTTTTATCATTAGCATGTCCCCTAGGCAGGGCTCAAGCACAAATTAATCGACACTATCGAAATCCTGACACAGCAAGGTTTTATTATATGTTCCTTTATATCAGCGCTTCTCGACATGTGTGTCACGACCACTTTGTGTTATCGAACGACCCTTACACAGAGGACATCTAAGACCATCGGAAAACACATATTTATGACATAGCAACGAACATAAATGTATTGTTTGGGTAACTACAACATGACTGACTGTATTGAAGAGCCATGGCATTTGGTCGCCACTAACTAACGCACATATTCTGGTGAAGGTCTGAGATTACTCTCTTATGACCCCGGCTAGTAAATTGGCTATCAACTCCATCTGTTGAGCTGAGCCATACAACATTTCCCTCACAAAGGATCCTCCAACCGCCCTGGCTTCCGTCAACAGATGTTCTAAGGTCTCTGGGGCCAGGCTGCAGTGCCGGCAGGTAGGATCTCTGTTGTTGTCCAACCTCCAGAAATATGTGCGCAGGGGGCAGTGCTCGGTGCGCATCTGCGTTACTAGACTCTGCACTCTACGACCTAACCCCCACCATGGGTCTTGTTTGCTAGGAGTAGGCAAGTTCGAATAGACGCCTCTGGCGGTCGTGTTGTCAGCCCATTGCCTGTACCACTTCTGCCTGAAGTGGTCCGCCAGCCAGTTTTTGACTCCCAAGAAAGTCATTGGTACTTCTGGCTGAGGCTGGGCCGCCCCGGTTTTCGCCAGAGTGTCAGCTATCTCATTGCCACTGATGTTGACGTGCCCTGGTATCCATTGCATTTCAACCTTGCACCCTATTTCACCAAGTCTGCATATGTCGTTGTGAATGACGTCGACCAAGCTTGTGGTACCCTGTCTCTTCTCCAAGATCTCAAGAGCAGATCTTGAGTCTGAGAAGACAACAATATCAAGCCCCGCATGTTCCGTCCCTTCCAGAGTGATATGGACTCTCTCCAAGGCCTTGTGCATAGCTATAAGCTCCGCGTCAAAGTTTGACGCTGTAGTCCCACAAGGCCCGGAGAGTTTTTCATTAGGTGGTCCACCTACTGGGTACTGAATAAGCGCACCGTACCCAGCAGTTCTTTTCCAAGCCGATTTTTTAAAACGATGGATGGCTGTGACAAAGAATTCGATATAAGGAAGTGATAACAAATAAAACAGTGGCGACTTTTTGTGTTCTTTTATTTGTATTGCTCAGCCAGCCGTCGAAGGCGTTTTGTCGACACGTTCATTATGTTTGAAGAAGACGAAACCAAATTTATCTAGTTCGTGTCTTGTATTTTTAATAGGAGTCCAATCTAATAACCATTAATGCTTATTAAACAAACGTATTACTAGATAACATAATATGATACCAAACGTTAGCAATTACCTATTCTCTTCGTTCACGCTCATCGGCGTATATGTCTATTAATAACGTCACATTGGAGATGGCGTCGGGAGGTCGTCGAGCGCGACCTCTTAATACCCCCCGGTACACCCACACACGGGCCGACACCGGGTTTTTGATCGCCAGACCGTGCGGAAGCACGCCGGCGACCTCCCCCATGGCCTGCGGGACGTCCGTTTGACTGAGAAGGCTGCATGTAAAACTTTCGCGATCCACTCTCCTTGGGTCTGGTCAGCTTTACTTCCTCTTCGAGAAAGGTGTTGCGTTGCCTCCCCCCACCGTCCAGTGAGTTGCCCGATCAGGACTTAAGCGGTGATGAAACTATTGCCTGGGAGCGGCTTACTCAAGGCCGCGTAGCTAAAATCATCGGCGAGGGCTTTGACAGCCACCCAGATCTCATAGCCATTATCGGAAATATATGTCTATTAGAATTTTTCTTTACTTTGACACATGCCATTTCACTTTTTCATTAGAGACGACCAGTTCCTGTCTTATATTTATTAATTTTTTAAAATTCAATCTTCAACATATTAGGTACTAAATATTTCCTCCACTTAAACTCGTAAACTAAAAAGTTAAATAGTCAGAAATATTTTTAAAAATCCTTTTTTTTTGTGTGTAATATTTACTTTAAATCTTCAATGGTGAAATTTAATTTAAAAATAAACAATTGAATGGGAAAAAATGGGAAAGATTTTGTAAGTTATTACTTTTTGTGGGCTTTTAAAAATAATGATGTATCCACATTTAAGGCGTAATTGTAATTGAAACGGTCCACTCAGACAGCGTCTCGCAAGCGACCTGAAATAGAAATGATGTTATGAATGTCAATTTTATTTAACGATCCTTTTTAACGGCAACAGGGTGTTCTTTTACCTAAGTTTGTCAACATAATGTTTGTAAAGATACGTTTATTTAATGTTAATATTAAATTAATGTCAGTATAATTTCTTTAATTAAAATATATGTGTAGGTAATACAAAAGACAGAATTTAAATGCTACTAAAGTAGATCTTAATTTTTAAAACAAAATTGTCTTATTCTCATGAATGTCTCACTCGTGATATCTCATCTTTGGGCTAACCACTGCCAGGAAAGGATGATGGAATAATGAAAGATCGTCATACTTAAAAGGTTTCAGCCTTGTAAAGGGACGTCATAGGGTAGGGCATGGTTGAATTTGCAGGATTTATTTAAGTTACTATGTACTCTGGTGCCTCCAGTAATACACAACTTAACAGCCGGAATAAGTTTTGGTTTTGCCCTCCCCCCCCCCCCCCCCCCCCCCTTTTTGTTTTTTCCCCCCCCCCCCCCCCCCCCAAACCCTTGTTGAAAAAACCTGACCTGAAATTATTGAGTACTGTTGTCAACTGGCGAATTTTGTAACATATAGGAATTTAAATTGTTGGAAGATTTTTTTTTGTTTTTAAATTGATAGGAAATAACTTAATGTCTTACCCTAAAGTGTCTATTTCACAGATCTTTAATATAATACTAACGTTTACTTTAATAACACATACTGTGACTTTTAAAAGTTTACTTAAATTTATTTCAATGGCAGGGATGTTGCTGTTCTGGCGTTACTATGTTGAAAAAATGATTCTTTTAATGATGTTATTTTATTGTATTTAATAATTGACATAACTCTGAACAATTTCCAACGTTTACTTATTAGTCTATTTGGAAATTATATTTTGGGAAATTTAAAAACAAATACAGTTTATCTATGTAATACATCGTCTAAAACTTTATTATTATTATTTTTAGAAACAAAGCAACTCTATAACTTACAAAGACAATTCATTACAAATACTCGTTAACTTAGATTCATGTCTTACAAATACTGATTAACTTACGGACATGTCCCGCAAAAAGCTCACATCTTAATGACGGCCTCGTTGTCCTCTGGATCAATTCACGAAGGAAAGCTCCATAGATGGCACCACAGTTTTCATTGATGTAATTTGTAACACAGGTCAAATAATGCTGAACTAAGCTGTGTAAATTTGTAGAACGTAACACTCATCGGTATAATAAAATTATTATGTCAATTCAGCATCAAGAAACGTCTTTTTGTAAGATGACTGAATATGCACCACAATTAACTTAATACTTTCGTTTCATTAATAAGCGTTAAACACCTTCAAGCTCTTTACGTCAGGCATTTAGATTTAATAATATAAGAACAATTTAATACAAAAATATTTTCTATCTTCTAATGTATATTAAAAAGGTGATGGATACATTTAGCTAAGGCACTTTTGCATGATATGTTGTGTGATATCTTCAAGCCAGTTTCATATTATATATTATTTGTTATAATCATTGCTGTTTTATATTATAAACTAGAATATATGACCCGATGTTACCTAAATAATAATGGTAGACATTTTGCGACAATTTGTACCTGTAATGGCGACAATTCTTCACAATTCCGTATTTTAAAAAAAGGAAGTAACTATGTAATGATATCTACGTTTCTAACTTCATAAAATTTGGAGACAATTCTTTTATTATATATTTCATATGCTTACCTTACTCTTTTTCTAAATGATTACTATTGATATCATTATAGTAACTATAGGAGTTTATTGACAGCTGACTTATAGCTAGGAAATACTTAAGACGTCTTGCGTTTTTAAATTGTTAAATTTTCGGCCTAACTTACCCCTTTTCCTTCCCTTATGTTACATTTTTTTAATTTAAAAAATAGGAAAACATAAACTTAAATTTAAAACAAAACTTTTGAAGTTTTAAATTTATTTTATATTTTCGAATAAGAAATTATTTCCTTTACTGTGAGGCGTCTCTTGTGATGAATGTGCCAAAATGAAAATAATAGAAAATCAATATCACATTTTGTTTTTATCAGAGTCAGAAAGTATTTAATTAATTTGTTTCTTTGGTGTTACATTGAGTATCCAGCCCCAATTTTGTATAAATATTGGGTTATATTCAAGGTAGTTTTTATATTATAACTCGCTTGCTATAATCATTGTGTTTTTTTATAACATATTATGTGTTCTTACTGGCAAAAGAGAGCTTCCTCGGTTGACTCTTCAGCCACAAATCCACTGGCTGGCCGTCCCTGCCTAAATGCACTGGTAAGCGCGGAAATTTTACAATTTCTAATGGTTGTTTCCATCTCCGATTTCTTAGTGGCGTTGGTGATACAATCTGACTGAGCAGCAGCAGCATGGATTACTGTAAAAGACAAAAACACTTAAATCATTAAATATATAACTATTTGATTCTCTTCAATATCTACGTCAGACTGGTGTACTTTTTTAAGCCAATAGCTTGAGTATTATTATTTTGAAAATTCTTTGAGAAATTTTATGAGACAGTTAAAGAGAAAGTTTTCAAGAGTTTGCTTAGCTATTTAATTTTAAAAAAACAACAACATTGGTCTCTCGAGTCAAACCTTGACTTCCTTCATTTGAACAAATGAACTCGCCAGCCACCAACATCCTTTCAACTTCTTCTATATGAAAGGATTCGTTGCATTGGGTCCCCAAGGCTTCAATACAATTCTTAAATGTAGCCTCCGCTCTGGAAAAAGATACGGAGAGAATAAGATATAGCAGACTGTCTGTGTTGTTTTCTTTTAACCTTTATAAGAGCCCTGCATTGTTAGAATATTGTAGACAGTTCAGTTTGTGTGGTACATGGGTGGGTGACCCACAGTACTATAGCTGTGGAATTAGATAGTTCAGTCTGGGTGGTACGTGGGTTAGAATCCCATAGTACGATGGCTGACTAATTAGACGTAATCCTCGGAGGTACGTGGGTTAGAGTCCCTTAGTACGAAGGGGTGATTAATTAGATAGTTCAGCCTGGTTGGTACGTGGGTAAGAGTCCCATAGTACGATGACTGGCTAATTAGATAGTTCAGCCTGGATGGTACGTGGGTTAGAGTCCCATAGTACGAAGGGTGATTAATTAGATAGTTCAGCCTGGGTGGTACGTGGGTTAGAGTCCCATAGTACGATGGCTGACTAATTAGATAGTTCAGTCTGGGTGGTACGTGGGTTAGAGTCCCATAGTACGAAGGCTGACTAATTAGATAGTTCAGCATTGGGGTGTATGTGGGTTAGAGTATCACAGTACGATGACTGACTAATTAGATAGTTCAGCCTGGATGGTACATGGGTTAGAGTCCCATAGTACGATGACTGACTAATTAGATAGTTCAGCCTGGGTGGTACGTGGGTTAGAGTCCCATAGTACGATGACTGACTAATTAGATAGTTCAGCCTGGGTGGTACATGGGTTAGAGTCCCATAGTACGATGACTGACTAATTAGATAGTTCAGCCTGGGTGGTACGTGGGTTAGAGTCCCATAGTACGATGGCTGACTTATTACCAAACGCACCAGACTGTCTCTCACGCGTATCAAGTTAATTAACGAATGCTGCAAATACAGTGTAACACAACTACTCTGACATTGCGTGGGATCTTATTTCTTATGCTGTGGGTTATGTCAGTAGTATGGTTACTTATGTTATGTTGATATTTGTAACACCCACATGTCCTGACATCATTATCATTGTAACTTATTTCTTAGGCTGTGGGTTATGTCAGTAGCATGGTTACTTGTTTTAAGTTAGTAATTCAGAATGCCGGCTAAGACTTCATCGTTCTTCCTCGTATTATCCAGGCACGCAAATAAGAATACTGAATCCTGGTTAAACTGACAGTACTTTATTAAATCACAGTTTACACAGATAATATTAATAATAATCCTGCATGAATGTAATCATTTCACATATATATTATATATATATATAATATTCCATCACTCAGAAAGACACGTCCTCACACTGCTATAACTCAGCTCAACTGTACTACATCTCAACTCTAACTCAACTCCGACTAACTCTGACTCTCCTTGCGCTCAGCTCTCCTTATCTCAGTCAACTCATACTTTATTACCAGCAAAGCGTGCAAAACAACCGCTCTGACAAAAACATAATTTTACTCTCCAAAAACGTGGAGTTCACATTTGCATCTCAAAATACAATTCATTGTCCTCGTGGACAAAACATGGTCAACACCATTCACTGTTCACTCATGCTACCTCTCTGTTTTCATGTGAAAACATTGTCCGTTACATACAGATTTTACAGTGTGTCACAAATGACGAGGAATGTACGAGGTAAAGATAGGGGCAGGGAACGGGCAACAATACAGTAAGGTATGGAGAAGTTGACTTTTGCATTCAAGAATGGTTTATATAAGGACATGAAAGACGTAGTCTAGTAACCCATGCAAATAAGTGACTGTATGGGTATCACGATTAAGTTTTAGTACTGACTTTTGTAGTTTACAGTTAAATGAGTAATGTCCATGCAGACTCTGGATAGTGTTAGTTCAATAAGGAATGTGATAGAGAAAGCCAATCTTGATCGGTGTTAATAAGAAGGTAGAGACATGGAATAGGCGTACGGGGTAAAGGATCTGATTTTGGAGAATGTAGTCTCTATTAACGTAGCAATCCAATAACCGTGGGATTCTAGTGGTGGCATGTTTCTCGTATGATGAGGTCTAGATGTAAGCTAGTGGTTTTGGGACACTCAGCCGTTCAGGGGAAATGAAGCTATTAAGGGAGAACGGCCGTGAACTTCGCTGGACAGGAGTAGAAGAAAGACTTGAGAAGATTGTTTCGAACGAGAGCGACAATTCAGGACAGTCAGAGCAGAGTTTCAAAGTCTTGAGTGTGAAAAGTATAGCAGATCTTTAAAGAGAAAGGCTACCCATCCAAGTGTTATTTATTACCTGATTGTTGCAGCACGAGAGACAGAGTGAACGAGGAAACCATCCACATAAAGTAGTTAGAGAACGAGGGTAGAACAGACCCAGCCAATGTTATCTACAACATGGCGCTATTAAATGACATTATTTTGAGCATATCAATTTCATAAATATCCTGATAATTTGAAGAGAATAAGTTTTGAACCATTATAAAACGTAAATTATTATTTTTTTTTAACTTTTAATGATTGGACTCTTTTAAGTACCGTTATTCAGAAAAACTGGGGAAAAAAACGTATGTAGCTTTCTCACTCACAGGACTGATAGTTATCAATTGAAAATATGTCATTATTAACTTGACTATCAGACACACAATTTTAACACAATAGCAACCAAAAAAATATAATAAACACACAGATACAAAAAAACAAACATGTAGTAACTATGTTTTAAAATTTAGTGTTTAATTGTACTGGCCGATAAAAGAATTTAGAGGTCTTTATTTCACTCACTGACAGAATTGTTCGTCCATTCCTTCCCTGTAATTGAATTGTATTATTGCCAAAGGCGATTGGCATAGCTCCAACTGATAACAGGCGTCATCTCGTCTTAACTTATTGCATTCTGGGGAAGAAAATAGTGAGGCGTAACTATCATGAGCTCTTTAACTACAAGATAACTTAAATACTTTTCACAGTTTTCAATTAATATTACAGTAATTAACAAAATACGATTATTTCTTATATTTCTTCTTTGAGTCTTGACCCGTTCAAACAGCTTCCTATACAGCAGTGAGTAAAGAAAACGACATGCGTCCATGGTCTATGCATCGTGCATGCAGCCAGCAATGGCAATTCTTCTAAGTGTGGACAACAAACTGCACATTTTGATCAGTTCTAGAACATGTGTATTAGTTACGCGTTGAGTGCTCTGCAGACGTCTCAGGTGAAGGCTGTTAAATGTCCCATCGTGTTTTTGTTACGATCCTCAATTAACTGATATTTAGAAGTGTACTGAACTTTTAATTTGAAAAGGCAATGTAAAAGCAATGGTCTAGTTGTGCACTCAAAAGCACTCTAACCCACGTACCACCCATGCTGTACCAAAAGACATACATTACATAGCCATGATTCATAGAGGAATAGGCAGAACAGATTGTTTGTTCTTGTTCAGTCTGTTTCAGTTTGTCATAGGCGTATTCGAATTTGTAGGATGCGTACTTAAAAATGAGCAACCTGCTATCTTGCTGATACCCTAGAATTTACACGCTACTGGCATATCAGATATTGTAATCTAAGTGCATGATGTTAATAAAGTTTTACCAAAGTGGAACAAAGTAGCTTGTTTTGTGTTTTTTTTTTTTAAACAGCCTATTGCCAATGATATTCTAAACATAGTTTTCACTTTACCATCACCTTTCACTCATGTAGTCTTACATCAAACTGACTTAAAACTTACCACAGAAGATGACGAAACACAACAAGGCCAGGATGAGCTTGAACATTTTCATAAAATCAGACAACGCTCAACTGACGTGCAGCAGTCTCCTAGTCTGGTTGTCTTGTCACAATGTCATATTTACTGCTGTTTTATAGCACAAAAATATGTAACATTTTGCCCATAATAGCTCACCAATTGTTTTGACATTTTAAAAACTCGCTTTGTAGGCGCAGACATTTATATTAAATAATTTGATGTCTGAAAAATGATAGGATACAACACAATAATTTGTTGACTATATTATTTCCCTACTATGTTCTCTATTAATTTATAAAAAAGGTAAAAAAGCATGTGTGGTAATGCTAAACAATATTACGTTTTCTATTGTTTGCATTTTATAATACTAAGAAATTGTGTTGATATCTCACTATAAAACTCCATTGTTTTATAGCAGATAAAATATCAATTATTGAAAACCGTTGAAATGTGAATCTTTCAAGTGTTCTTATATTCTTATTTGGAAGGAACATATTTGGCACATAAACCTATACTGGATTTTTTAATCGGTGTTTGGCTCAGAGGCGTCATTTCAGGTCTTTTCAGGGGTGAGGAGGGAAAAAAAAAATAATTGATCGGCCTCTTAAGTAGTTATTACTGGAGGCACCACAGTAGATAACAAATAAAACCTGCAAATAGGGGGGGGGGGTGGAGGCAAAGGAGTAGAAATTTTTAGTTTTGATAGTGAGACTAATGAAATATAGGCCAAAGTTAGGGCTTTGGCATAGCTTAGGATGTGGGGGGGGGGTTGTAAACCGAACCGGATGGCACCATCTCAGAGGGGGACGCCATAGTGAAAAGCTGCATATTTACAGAGCAGACAATGTTCAGTCTAACAAAATTTCATAAGAGGATAACCGATCACACGTAAAGGTTCCACACATGCATGGGTGGGGTGGAGGCAAAGGAGTAGAAATTTTTAGTTTTGATAGTGAGACTAATGAAATATAGGCCAAAGTTAGGGCTTTGGCATAGCTTAGGATGTGGGGGGGGGTTGTAAACCGAACCGGATGGCACCATCTCAGAGGGTGACGCCATAGTGAAAAGCTGCATATTTACAGAGCAGACAATGTTCAGTCTAACAAAATTTCATAAGAGGATAACCGATCACACGTAAATGTTCCACACATGCAACCATTCCAAATGCGTGCTTTACTAAAAGTTCAAGTTTACCTTACCATGGGTCAGTAAGGGCTTTCTGATCTGGCTCTACTACTTCTATGAAATGAAAGTGATACCTTGAAGTTATTACAGTACTTGAATAAATTACCTCCTGACTGTCAACTATTTTGTTTGTGTTTTATCACTGTTATACTGAAGATTTATTTTAACATTAAAAAAATAAAAATAAAATGTCGGGGTTTGAGGTGACAGCATGGGGCACCAGCTGTCATCAACCCTGATTGAGGGCACCAGCTGTCATCAACCCTGATTGAGGGCACCAGCTGTCATCAACCCTGATTGAGGGCACCATGCATTATTCTGCAAAAATGCTTTGTTTTTTTGTCTTTTTTTTTTGTTTGTTGTTGTAAATACGTACATCGCAACATTTCGGTGAAATTTTTCAATGTTTAAAATACACTTTTGAAAAGTCAACACTAGAAATCAAAGATTTAGAAAGCAATGAATGGCCAGAGCAAGAGAAAAAGGATTAAGTTAGTAGGGAAAATTTGGTGGTAACAATGTGCAATTAAATGAAAAAAAAACATCATGATAAAGTGCAATATTGTGCACATTTTAAAAATATAATATTGTGGACAGATTTAATATACCAGGTGGTACATAGTTTTAAAGTGCCATGTGGTGCATAATTGTGCCATGTGTTCAATAGTTTCAAAGTGAAATATTGTGCATAGCTTTATAGTGCTATATGATGCACATTTTTTAGTGGAACATGGCGCAATACTTTGATATGTCATGGTGCATATTTTAAAATTGCAATATGGTGCATAGTGTTTTAGTGCAATATGGCGCACAGTTTGTATGTGTAACAAGAGTCTGTGGTGCATAGTTTTAAAGTAAAATGTAGTGTATAGTTTTGAAGTACAATAAAATTCACAGTTTTAAATTTCAATAAGGTGCATACATTTAAAAGGCAATATGGTGCATAGTTTTGAAATGCAATATTTGGCACAATTTTTAAATGCAACGTGGCACATAGGTTTAGTGCAATATGGTGTGTAGTTTTAAGGCTGACGTATATAAAACAATTATGGACACAGTTCGAGCGCCATGTGAACAGTGAAGTCTCATTATACTCGATAATTTGGAGAAATCTCACACTAAAACCTGCGAGAGATACGTAATATAATAGCTCAAGGCTCACCAGCTGCTTAAAACATACATCTTATGGCTCACAGCACAAATGGATTACCATGCTAAACACTTGTAAACAAGCGAAAAATTACATCATTTATTTAAGGTCATTGCAATAACACTTGTTCGTTAAATGCTTAAGGTTCGAAATATAGCGAAAGGCAACACCACCCACCCCAACCCAACACCAACCCTTTTTACCAAACCCAATTATTTGTCTGGTAAACTGCCAGCTGACATCATGCTGTTGAACTCATTTACTGTGTCAGGACAATTTCTGTCTGCAACTTGCGTTGATCTATCAACAACACGTCCCCACCCCTCACTTTAAAAAAAAACATTTTTAGTTAACAACAAATGAAATATATTGTTAAGGCTTTGACTGGGTCAAGATGGTCAGCTGAACATGAACATGTTGGCTATGAGTTTAAAATTGAACATTTCTGAATTTTAAGAATTCGATGTTGATCAAAATCTGTGACAGAACTGTAGGCCAATATAAGGGATAAGTTTAACAGTAGGCCAGTATGGGAGGTAAGATTTACAGCAGACCAATAAGGGAGGTAAGATTTACAGCAGACCAATAACGGAGGTAACATTAACAGTAGGCCTATATGGTATGTAAGATTAACAGCAGGCCAATATGGGAAGTAAGCTTAAGAGTAGGCCAATACGGCAGGAAAGATTAACAGTAGGCCAATTTGGGATGTAAGATTAACAGTAGGTCAATTTGGGATGTAAGATTTATTTATAGTAGACCATTTTGGGGGTAAGATTAAGATTAGGCCAATATGGGAGGTAAGATTTACAGTAGGCCAATTTGGGAGGTGAGATTTACAGTAGAACACTGTGGGAGGTAAGATTTACAGTAGGCCAATTTGGGAGGTGAGATTTACAGTAGGCCACTATGGGTGGTAAGGTTAACACTACGCGTATATGGAAAGTAAACTAAAGAGAAGGCCAATGTGGGAGGTAAGATAAACAGTAAGCAAATATCATATGTAAGATTAACAGTAAGCATATATGGTATGTAGTATTGACAGTAGGTCTACATTGGAGGTAAGATTAACAGCTGGCCAATATGGGAGGTAAGCTTAAGAGAATGACAATATGGGAGGTAAGCTTAGGAGAATGACAATATGGGAGGTAAGATTAACAGCAGGCCAATAATGTTGTTAAAACAAACAGTAGCGCTACATTGGAGGTAAGATTATCAGTTGGCCAATATGAAAGTAAGATTAACGGTAGGCTAATGTGGGAGGTGAGATTAACAGTAGGCCAGTATGGGAGATAATATCAACAGTAGGTATTTATATATTGATAGTAAGATTAACATTAGGCCAAAATAGGAGGTAAGATTAACAGTAGGCTATTATGGGAGATTATATCACCCGTTGGTATTTATATGTTGACAGTAAGATTAACTGTAGGCCTAAATCGGAGGTAAGATTAACTGTAGGTCATATGAGAGACGAATACATATTCCTGAAAAAAAAAAGAAAAACACTGTACTTGTAACACAAAGACAATGATTTTTATTTATGCTATTCCAAATAGATGACGTCACTTTGAGTTTGTTTGTTTTCCAAAGATTCACCAAATATTCAAATCTTTAGTCATTCCTCTTGCTGTCCACTCGGATTCTTACTCTGTTTATACTGTTGCTTGTTCACTGTTAAAGGCATTTAAATGTTGATAGTAAGATGAACTCTTCTCGATACTTTCGTTGTTTTGTTGGGTCTTTTTTAAGGTTTTCCCATATGTTATAAAGACATTGGAGGCTAACCTCGAGTTCAAGCAGACAAATGATGGTTGGGGAAATGTAAGTAGTGAGTACAGCAGACCAAAACAGCATCACACGTACGACAACTGAGTAACTGTTACTGCCACATTAATAAATCAACAAGTCCCTTGAAGTAACTAATACTGGCAGTTTATTACAATTAGAAGGTATCCACATGTTAAATAATAGCTTTAACGATATGGCAGAATATTCACTTCTTTTTCATTTATTATCTTTTACCTACCGTTCTCACAAAAATAGCTCCCTTGATTTAATATAAGATAAAAAAAAGCACACACAAAGTTATACTGTTACAGGGGGAAACAGGAGAATCAAACAAACTAAAAGACCTTATCAACAGTTAAAACAAGCGCATTTATAGACGTTGAAAATTAAAGCTATATCAACAGTACCGGTACTATCCCGGTGACATTTATATAATCAACTGTGCGAGAAAGGAAAACATTTCCATGCACACTCAGTCGCTCTTGATAAGAACTTAGATGTAACTGACAATGCACAACTCCCAATAGATTTCCTTGGGGTTGATGCTAATTTTGAAGTGATAGAGGAGTTGCTCTAAGTGATCCCAATGCATTGTCAGACTACTGCTCGGGAGAAATTCCGGCAGCTATGTGATTCCATTGTGGATACCGGTTTACCGTGGAAAAGTTATGCAGTAAAACAATCGAAAGAGCGTCATCAATTACAGGGAAAATAAATGGACGCGTGACACATGTTCAAAGATAACTGGAAGAGGAGGATGTGGAAGAGGCCATTGCTACACTGCATTCAACATCAGCAGACCCTTTGCAGCAAATGCCTGAAATTGGACGTTGTGAAATTCATCAACCACATCAGATCCAGGGGCTTGAAGCATCATCAGTTCCATGCCTTTTAAAAGGAAATAATGTCAGCACATGAGGGTGTTTTCTACTTCATTCAGGTACACTGGCTTAGTAGGGCA